GAAATCAGCGACTCAGGGATCTACTTGTTACCAGGGAAGGAATGATGTCGTTGACTTGGAATATTCAGATGATATAGTCCTCCTCCTCCCAGGTGAAGACGCTGACAAAATGCAGAGCCTTCTGAACACCTTGAGGAGCTGCAATCTGCGAATGTTTGGCATGCAAGATTCACTCGTGCTGTCAAATGTAAGATGATGCTACAGGACTGACTGGACTACACTGACTCCTAGTTTAGAAATAGGGAGTGAAGTTTGTTTGTGGAGCGTGTTGACCACTTGACTTATTTGGGGAGTTGCATCAGCCAACGCCAACTGGTTGATCGCTGGCGAAATCTCAGCACGGATACGGATACAGACGGCTCGTTTCGCAAATGCCAACTTACGCCACCTCTGGTCTAGCAGACGTGATATCCGGCTGGCTGTCGACTGACCGCCTTGTGTAATCCTCAGCAGCACAGTTCGCTCCGTCCTCCTTTATGTCTGTGAGACAAGGCTATTGGAAGTGGAAGAAAGAAAAAGGCTAGCTGTCTTTGGTCATAGGTGTCTGCGTCCTATTTCCTAAGCGAAGTGGTATAATAGAGTGAGCTATATTGAGATTAGGCCTCCTTCGAGTGCTAGGTGATGGGAGGAAATCAGTCGATGAGATTGTGAAGTTACACCGATTGAGATGGTTAGGACATGTGTTACGCATGCCTAGCCATCTCCTTCCTCAATCGACGGGCAATGTTAGCTGACATAGGATTGATCAGGTTGGTAAACAGCTAGCCAATGGTGGTCAAACCGAAACATGGCTTCACCAGTCAATGAAATCCATACTAGCTAATTTAAGCCACGTAGAAAGGTGCATACTTCCTGACTAGTTGGGTTCCTCGGGATGGTAAAAACCAATGAAGGCTGGAGACAATTGGTGATATGGCTCGAAATCCTCGTTCTGAATGCACAGTGCAGATGCATTTACTCTTTGTGGTTTATTTATCATATCCAATAAAAATCTACTGTGCTTCCATATATTACTATTCTTTTTCCCTCACTGATACTTCTATTTATTATCTCTCTTTTGAATGTCTTTTTCGATCTCTTATCTTGCTTTGTGTGCTACAAGGAGAGAGATGGTGCGTGGCAACTGGAACTGCTGTACATCTGTGCAAAGTTCTGCGTTGAAACCAGTCAGTCAGTCCTATAAAGTGATAGTCTTAAACACCTTTCTATTTCGAAAATGAGATTTATCTCGTTCGGTAAAAGAAAAGTGGGCATTGAAAAAGGATTAGTTTTCATCAATCTGTGCATATTTATTTTATTTATGCTTAGATTTTGTAATATTTGATTCTTTTCAAACTGATGAGTAACTACTATATGATTTTATGTTATATTTTAATTGGCCAGTTTCACACAAGAACTGGAAAATCTTCTAATCAGTTGGGTAATAAAGGATGACATTGTATCTGTAAGTGTTCCATTTGTTAATTAGTTTTGTACTTTAAGTATTTTGGTTTACTTCGAATCCACGGTGAGTATTTTAATACTTCCTGTCATCAATATTTTGTCTCTTAGACGTGCTACTAAGGGGTTGTTAACTTGGCTTGCGGTGTATGCTACTAAATGACACCAATTTGCAAGTAGTATTCAGTGTAATGTTTTCTGGTAACAACACCACAACAGACAAGGTTGCAGACACAAGAATTGGTAAAAAGCACAGTTAGTCACTTGGGAGGGGGCATAAAATGTAGAGGAAGAAATGGAATAAAAACAAAAAGAAACTGCAATGGAAAGAAAAATATGAACAGCTCTTATGCTCATTAAATTCTCACTGTAAGGTTGTTATAAACTGTGATATGAAGGCGGAATGGAAAAAGAAATAGAAGCGGGATATTTTGAATTAATCACTAAAGCATTGTTAAAGCAGTAACTAGATTACGCAAGGTACCTGCGGATTGAAAGAAAGGATACCTATTGAAACTGGTGAAGAGAGGAGACTTAGGTCAATGTGAGAACTGTCGCGGAATTATGCTCCTGTCCATCCCAAGCAAAATACTAAGTCGCATGATCCTGGAGAGAAAGGAACACACCCTGGATGAAAAACGTCGGCTGGAACAGACTGTAATCAGGAGAAACAAGTCATGCATCGATCGAATCGCAACACTACAGACCACCACTGAAAAGAGCTTGGAATGGCAGTCAGCTCTCTATCTGAATTGCATTGACTTTGAAAAGACTTTCCACAGCGTCGATCGAGAGGTGATTTGGCAACTAATTCGCTACTACAGTGTGCGACCGTCAATTATGCGTCTCATCCAACAGCTGTACGACAATGCTGCATTCCAATTAATCCACAACGGGAAACTCAGGGAATCCTTGGAAGCGAAGACGGGAGTAAGACAAGATGTCTGCCTACTATCGCCAATGATTACTATACTATACGAATCAGAGACTTGCATTGCGCGTCATAAAGAGCATATCAAACAAACTACAGATCGTCATCAACAGTTGTCTTCACTCAATTCAGCTCAAGACCAGATGGCCAGAAAAGATCAGATCTCTGGGAGCGAACCAACACAGCAGGAACCGATTGTGAAACAAATAGGCAGCAAGAAATGGAGATGGATTGGCTGACCACACTCTGAGGGAGCAAACCATCAAGTGACATCACTAGACAAGCCATCGTTCGAGTGGAACCCGAAAGGGAAGCGGCGAGTTGGTCGTCAATGCAAGGGTGACTTGGAGGAGGTCATGTGAAGAGGAGATGAAAACGTGTGGTCAGACTTGCAGCCAGGTGAAAACTCTAGCAGAGAACCGAACGCAATGGAGACGCACGGCTGAAGCCCTATGTTCCTCTAGAAATTAAAGGAAACAATAATAATAATAACCGAAACATGACAGTCAGCTCTAGAGAAGCAATTACTCCTGATATATATATATATATACATATGACTTCCCTTAATATTTCATTTAAAACAGTTTTATAGACTATTTCTAATGAATATATTATACTATTCCAGTTTACAGATTGTGGACGTCTTTACTTTTGTGGAAAGCTGAAATTCAGTAAAAGAGTATTCAGTCTGTTTTACTACAAATATAAGGAATCTGGAAAAGAGGATAAGAAATCAACCAGTTCAGTTCAACCTAATGGTAAGACGTTCTTCACTTGGTATTTCTTATTTGTGTGTTGGCTCATTTCGACTTCAGATACACGAACATCTGCTCACCTTATCACTCGAGTCCCGGATTTCAGCCAACGATATCTACTTCCATTGTTTTGGTAAGTTTTATCAAATGTTTAATTGTTTTTTTATAAGATAATTAACCGCATCGGGGTGTCACAGCAGTAGAATGCCCCGAGGTTCGATCCCCGGCCATGGACGCACTTCTTTACCTCACTAAGTCAGTAATAAGACTGGTAAAGAGGGAAGGTGGGGCATGAGGCTAGCAACCTCATCCCGTAAAAATAAAACGCCACTACTAACGAAACTTCAAAGATGTAGCTTGAAGCCCCCTATGTACCCTTGGGAACGTTGAGGAATAAAAAAGAGAGTTAATTAACCACTTTATTGTGACTAGTTTATTTCACGTTGTTGTAGTCGGTGTACCTGTAGTATATAATGTTTGAGACGTGTAGAAAAGCGATCTGCACTCACTTCTGGTATCGATCAATATACTTGTCTGGGGAGTTTTGACAGCCATAGTGCAGATGATTAATGATAAAAAGTTCGGCATATATATAGTCCTTGCTAGATATTTACCAGATTGCATTGTTTTTGGCACTAATGAAGTTTGATAGGTCGTATTATCTGTCAAATGAGTGTTTTTTGCACCAAATTTGTTTTGAAATAAATAAATGAAATGAAGAAGTTCATCAAAAAAGAAGCTGTCGGAGGTCATTATTTTCTTTTGTCACATCTTTCTGTGAAGATTTTTCCCATTAAGCAAGTTTTTCAAGTCTCCAGGTTCATCATTGGAACTTCATCTGTCAGTTGTCCCCTTGTAAATTACACCATTTTTTTTCCATTCGGACAAATATATTATTATTGTTTCCTTTAATTTCTAGAGGGACATAGGGCTTCAGCCGTGCGTCTCCATTGCGTTCGGTTCTATGCTAGAGTCTTCACCTGGCTGCAGGTCTGACCACACGTTTTCATCTCCTCTTCACATGACCTCCTCCAAGTCACCCTTGCATTGACGACCAACTCGCCGCTTCCCTTTCGGGTTCCACTCGAACGATGGCTTGTCTAGTGATGTCACTTGATGGTTTGCTCCCTCAGAGTGTGGTCAGCCAATCCATCTCCATTTCTTGCTGCCTATTTGTTTCACAATCGGTTCCTGCTGTGTTGGTTCGCTCCCAGAGATCCAGCTCTGTTGCTGATCTTTTCTGGCCAGCCATTTGATCTTGAGCTGAATTGAGTGAAGACAACTGTTGATGACGATCTGTAGTTTGTTTGATATGCTCTTTATGACGCGCAGTGCAAGTCTCTGATCCGTATAGCAGCACTGACTGACTTCACATTGGAGTTGAAAATCCGGATCTTGGTTTTTGATGTTGATTGTTGTTGACGTCCACACAGACTTGAAAGTAGTGAAAGCTTGTCTTGATTTTCCGATTCTTGCTTTGATATCCTCATCAGTTCCGCCTGTATTTGAAAGGATGCTTCCTAGGTAGGTAAAAAAGGGGTGTTTCTTTCAGGTTCCTCCCATTTATGCTGTTTGTTGTCTGTTGGTGGTGTTGGCCAGGAATCTTCATCACCTCTCTTTTCTCTATGTTCACCTGAAGTCCCTCCTATCTTCTCTGGATGCTTCTTCTGCCAACTTGTTGCTTTTCGCTTGCATATCTTCCAGTTTGTGGGAAATCAGACATATATCATCGGCAAAGTCCAGATCCTCCAAGTTCTTTGTGTGAGTCCATTTTATGCCTGTTTCCTCATTGCCTGCTGTCGGTTGCATTATCCAGTATACCGCAATCAGGAAAATCGTTGGCGATAGTAGGCAGCCTTGTCTTACTCCTGTCCTCACTTTGAAGGATTCCGTAAGTTTCCCGTTGTGGATTACTTGGCATGCAGCATTGTCGTACAGCTGTTGGATGAGATGAATAATTGTCGGTGGCACTCCCTAGTAGCGAAGTATTTGCCATTATTATTATTATTATGTCATTATCTACTTAACCTAATGCTCATTTACTAAGATCAGTGATGTTCACCAAGCAGGGTGTGAGGACAGGTAGTCGCCGACGACATTAGCTGATAGTGACGCTATATATCGGCAACTGGTAGAAGTTGGAGTTCATAGGCCATTGGGTTCCCTCACACTGACTAGATGGTAATCGGAGTTGTCTCGTAATCTGAAGTCTTGTGTCGCCGGTGAGTACTGCTGAAGTGTCCCTATCTAGGACGTAGTAAAGCTGTCCAGTACTCCCTAGTTTTCAGTGCTCCTCTAAGTAACATCAGTTCGTGACCTAATCTGGAATCAGTCAAATCCCTTTAAACCAACCCTTGAAAACACCTCCATTGGATTTAAACTCAAACATTTTGAAACAGCGGTATTTTAGGTGATTCACTCTCTTACTGACAGTCGTGAGAATAAATCTTGTAAATGCTGATTTTCATTACACTGACTGACACTGTAACTAAATTCTGAACACCATGAGTATTGTTTGACTAATACACTTTGAAAATCTACATACACACACGCACACTTTTTCATTTCTTAAGATGAACAACTAATTCATGACGTGTCCATCTAGACAGCATAGTTTATTAAAATCAAAATGGCCAACTGATTACTTAATTAAATTCACAGAACACAAGACAACTAGGATCACTTCTATAAGCTGTAAATCTTCTTCACTATTCTATAACACCCACGACAAGTCAATGTCAACGGATTTAATAGAACTTTGACGAGACATTTTTACACGGAATTTGCGTCAGCAGTGCAATGGTAGGATGTTCAACAACCACACGTGAGGTCCAAGTTCAGTTTCATGGCTGACGCACTTCTAAATCTCGTCTAGTTGAATAGCTGATAGCAAATCTGAGAAGAAGGGGAGATGAAGCTGGCCACTCCACGCCTTGAAAAAGAGGACACTACACTACATCACTGCTACTGAAACTTCAAGTCTTGAAGCCTTATGTTCCACTCTGAACGCAGACGAATGGGAAAATTTTCCTGAAAGATTAGTAGCTGATCAAGTGGAATTTGTAATTCATTTGATGAAGTCCAGTTTATGTGTTTTTATCTCCAGGAAATGATTTGGCTAACAGATGCGTGAGATGTTAACACTTCATATGAATAAAATATTTTGCTAGAAATAGGTAAAAAGAAACTAAACGTCGATGAAATTTCAGAGTGCATTCATTCTACAGCACTTTTAAACAAAATGGTCATCAAATTCAACCACTGCTTTCATCAAAAATACCTAGTAATGAAATCCAGAACACGCTTTGAATTCTGTTTAGGACTCATCATCTGGATATTTACCTGCATTCGCAGCGAACGGTGTTTTCACTGAGAGCTGGACGCCACCATCCACCATTTTAAACCCCAAAGCATTACGCATTAAGCTGCTAAGCCACAAAGGCTAACTCATGTGTAATGGCCGTCAGCTGTTGTTTTTTCAAGTTATTCATGTAGTTGATTCATTGTATCGGAGAGGAGTGCTTTAATGTTTGAAACAATGAGTGCTGGGTTCGAATTTCAGTGCAAATACCACCTCTCACATCCAGCTGACGGGTTCCAGGTAGGATGAGATGCGTGTCTTGGACTCCACTGTCAGCCATCATTAACTAGATAGAACTATGTTAATCTGAAGGCAATATCAGAGCTGTCGTAGCAGCAGCTGACATGCCAACACAGACCGAGCATTTCTATCTAGTAAAATCAACCAGCGGGAATTACAAAACAGCTTAAATAAACAATAAACTTGATTTCTGCTATCTATCGATTTACGAAAATTCTAACTGATGTAACTGTATTTTTCATTATGGATAAAATTTTATTTTGAGAAAGTGACACAGTGTTGTTATACAGTAATATTTACTGATGCGACCACGTTCCGAGCACAATTTATTACCACTCATAATCATATCAAGGTACTACTCATACAACTTCCTTGCTTCATTTATATACCTGAGTAAAAATTGATTAGACATTTGAATAAAATAAATAATTTGTTAGAATGTTATAATATGAACTGAAATACATTTTAACATTACTTATCATCCCCCTCTGATTTGACTGGTGGTAATAATATCTTCCATATCTGTGGTATTTCCGTTGAGTCACTTCTATTGCATAATGGAATTATACTCTACCACAGTGCCCAAGTTTTATCCTTACATCAATTATAACTGTATTTTTATTTCAACCTTTTTCCACTGTAATGCTCAATTTTTTTAACCATTTTCTACTTTGCGTGACTTCATCGTGTGTTTTTTGTTTTACCTTTTTTGTTTTGTTACAGCCTTCTATCAATGGGTTCCATTTTGCTTATCAATCCAGGGAATATTGTTCTTTCTACCTCATTTTGCTTGGCAGACATTCGCCACACATCTAATGGGTGGAAATCTAGAAGCGATTTTAGATATGGCGTATAAGGCCAATGCAGCTGATGACAATGCCAAACGTCAAAAATTTGTTGAATCATCTGCCTACCACCTGTTTCGATTAGGACGTCAGCATTTCGATTATCGATCAAGTCGATGGGCACAACTTCAACACAAAATGTCACATATGTCTGGTGGATCATTACTGATTGCTGGAAAACGTATGGGAAATTGTATATCACTGGCATACATCTTTGTAAAACTATTGTATTTAACTAATCTATTCGGCCAGTTGAACATAATACGTACATTTTTAGGTTATCATGGAAATTTATTTTCTTTCGGTCAACGATTAATCGGAACACTGACATCAAGACATGAATGGACTGAAAGTGAATTCTTTCCACGTCAAACCTATTGTCCAGTGCATGTTCGTCATCTTGGTCCTAAGAATAATGTATTCACTGCAATCTGTGCACTGCCTGTAAATATGTTCAATGAAAAAATTTACATATTTTTATGGTTATGGATTGCTGTTGTCAGCATTATAACCAGCATTACTTGACTTGTATGGTTAATACGTTTATCACTACAAAATCGTCAAAATGCCTAGATTCGTAATTATCTAATTATATCAATACACTCACAGATATTAGATGCATATCAAAATCATAGTTTAACCTGTGATGGTTGTAATATTGACATTGATGATCCGCGTATTGAACACTTCATCACAGAATTTGTTAAAAATGATGGTTTCTTTTTATTACGCATGATACGAAACAATGCTGGTGATGTAGTGACAGCAGAAATTTTAAATCAATGGTGGCATATGTTTATTAATTATCAAAACGCCCGATCGGAACGAGAGAATCGACTGGAATTATTAAGGAGTGGCAAAGATATAACTGAGAAACATTATGGTTTTTCTGAATTACAAGATAATAATTCCATGATCGCTCCTACCGCACCAATGGCAAGCAATCCTAATAAATCCAATGTCAATTTTGTCTAAACTGATGTATGCATTCAGTTGACAGTGATTTGTATAAAGTCGGAATGTGTTTCCTAAACTCTGTTTGTAATACGCATTATGTAGTCGATGGTGTTTGCTTTCTTTGTTATAGAAGTAATGATCACCTTCGAGATAAACAAATTCTCTTGAATATTCTCTTAAAGACAGATCCCAGTCTCTCTCTCACTCCCACTCTCTGCCTTCTTTGTCCAAATTTATTATACAATGTAAACTTAGGAATCAAAAGTGACGAGATACTTCTTTTTTTTAATTGATTATGTAATCTTTTTTCACATAAACCTACCTTTTCAACTATGATTTGAAATAAAACAGATTTTTTTAAGAAATGACTTCTAAGCTTGTAATTGTAGAGTTACTGTTGGCTTCTGATGACTACAGTGCTATCAAAATCACACAGACAAATGAGATGGTTGAAGGCAGTGAGTAGGGAACTTACTTGCTTTACTTTACTTTACTTCGGCTATCTCCTACGGGAGGATGAGCCGGCTTCATGAACATCTCGAATCATCGCTGCCGAGGCGCGGTGAAAGAGAGTTCATGAAGTTTCATGGGAATTTGGTACGAGTGATGTCTCCAGAATCGCTCGGCCTTTTGTTTGAGAGTGCAGCTCTAGCCTTTACACAACCAAGTGTGACCTACAAGGCAGTAGGAGTGGAGTAGGGATTCCACTATCCATTGGCAGCCGGTGACCGGAGTTCGGTTCATACGCCTTTTTGAATGGGGCCAGATATCCAGGACATCCAACAAGCCCTTTGTCCATACGTCTACCGGTGAGCTCCAGTGAGGTTCATACGCCAGTCGTTGAAGGTTTGGAATCAGGGTTTAGCCATCTCCCCCTAGACTGTCATCCAATGGAGAGTCAACCCGGTGAAGAGCGCCGGGAACACCCTGGACTGAGGTTTTGGGGCTGGTCGGCACTCGTCAGCAAGATGTATCTGCAATCTCGTAGGGACTCTTATTTCCTCTGAGATTCGAATCTGCGTCAACCAGGGCTACAGTCATAGGCACTCACGATTAACCTCATATTAGGACAATAATGGATAGATTGATTGGTCACTTGGGAGTAACCAACACTATGCCTCTAGTTATTGGTTTTGCCGCAGACTAAATTCTCTTGGTTAGTTAAATGAGAATATATATATATTTTATTTCTTTAGTGTTTTGATTATAGCTTGAAACCACACAGTATTTTTGGTACAAGTATGGAATTTTCAGCATGTGATATCGGTGACCCAAATTTTGCAGGCCGACCACTGATATCGGGTGTGCGTCGGTAGGGGATCGAACCCCGGACCATGTGCATGGTCGGCGAGCGTCCTTACCACTGTGCCACGGACGCACATATATATATATATATTTATGCACTATCAAAGATAAAAATGTGATGAAAAAATGTTTAGGCTGAAATAATACAAACTATTTATGAATTATATGTACGGATAAGTTTTCTAAGTCAAATAAAGTGCCATAGAAAATCTGTGGGCTGAGATATCAGTTTGTGAATTCTTAAACTTAGTTAAATATCACAGAATAAATATGTGTCTTTAGAAAAATTGAACTATTGAAAAGCCTTCTCATTATCTTGTGCGGTTTTTTCAGATGTATTAGAATGATTCGAGGCCATATACTCCACTTGAAGCACAAGGAGTGCATGATAATAATAATAAACGCCCAAGGCTGATTAATATGGTGTCCCATATTTATTCGAGTAAACTAAGGTTGCAGATACTCCTTGCTGATGAGTGCCAACTAGCATGAAACCTAGGTCCAAGGCTTCCTGCCGATTGCCTCCAACCATCTAATACACCTCCACTTTGCTCTATTTGCTGCTGTCCTCTTCAGTTGGGTCCAAAACTGCTCATAATCTCTCATCTCCTCCTTGTACGATCTCCTCCATGTCACCCTCGAGCACACGCCCAACTCGTCGTTTTCTAATCGGACTCCACGTGAGCTATGGCCTGCATGGCGGCCAATGTCATTCGACGGTCTCCTCAGAGTGTACCCACTCCATCTCCATTTCCTTCTGCATAATTTTTGAGTGTTAGGTTTTTGGTTAGTTTGTTCCGATATTTTCTTGTTACCGATTATTTCTCGCAATCTGATCTTCAATATGACAGTTATTGATAAAAGTGTGCAACCTGTTGGAAATCCTTTTCATGACATGCGAGCCAACTTTCTGACCCATATAGAAGAAGTGACTTCACAGTTCTGTCGAAAATCCGAATCTTGTTGTTTGTGATGCTGA